GCTTAAATTCTACCTGTAGATGTGATGTAGCTTGAACTGTTGCAGTCAAATGTTCAAATGATTTATGAAAAATGGTGTTACTGGTTAATAACTAGATTGTGTGTATATAGACAGTTTGAAATTACTTCTGATCTGTGAAATGCTATAGAAATGTACATTTTGTTTCTCACTAACCTCATTTCATAGTCTTGTGCTGCCAGGTTGTTATTTAAGTGGAGAGTGAGAGAGACACCAAGAAAGTATAGCACAGAGGGATCTGGGTGTTCTTGAGCACAACATGCAAAATATTAGCTTGCAGGTGCAGTAAGTAATTAAGAAGGCAAATGGAACTCATGGGGAAATCTCAAACTAGGGGATTTGGTTACAAAATAAGGAAACATTTATTTAAAACTGAGGTGTGAAGGAATTTCTTCTCCCAGAGGATAGTGAAAGTCTAGAATTCTCCACCCTAAAGAGTTGTGAAGGTTAGATCACTGAAAATATTTAAAGACAAGTTTGATCGCTGTTTGAAATATTGGGGATTTGAGGGCTATGATGAGCTGACATGGAAGGGGGAGAGGCCTGGGGCAGATCATTCGTGATCCTATTAAATGGCAAGGCAGGGGCTGAATGGGCTACTCTTGCTCCTGTTTCTTATGTTCCTGCATTCTGATAACCTTCAAAGATAATAAAGAAACAAAAACAGAAATTGCTGGAAAAGCTCAGCAGGTCTGGCAGCATCCGTGGAGTGAAATCAGAGTTAACATTTTGGGTCAAGTGACTCTTCCTCAGAACATAATTATTAAAGAAACGATGCACATAACTAGAAACTACTTTACTTCTGTCTTCACTATAGAGGATACAGAAACATCCCAGTAATAGCTGTAAATCAGGAGGTGAAAGGTAAAGAGGAAATAGACAGTGAGAATGCTGGAGAAACTCAGCAGGTCTGGCAGCAGCTGTGAAGAGAGACACAGCTAACATTTCAAGTCCAGTATGACACTGATTGGACTCAAGATGTTAACTCTGCATCTCTCTCCACAGATATTGCCAGATCTTCTGAGTTTGTCCAGCATTTTCTATGTGTCAGTTATCCATCAGCTGCAATGATTTGCTTTTATCTGAAGGAAGAAAGGAACTTGGTGAAATTCTAATCACCAGGGAAGCAATACTGAGAAAACCAATGCAGCTGCAGGTTGGTAAGTTTCCAAGTCCCAATGGACTTCATCCTAGGTCTTAAAAGGTGGCTAATGAAATAGTAGATGCGCTGGTGTTAACTTCCCAAAATGCATTAAATTCTGGAAAGGTTGCATCAGACTGGAAAATAACAAATATAACCCCTCTTTCAAGAAAGGTTGGAGGCAGAAAATCAGGAACTGTAGGCCACTTGGGCTTGGAACAACACAGGGTATTAAGGAAAGTCAGTACGGTTTTCTGAAAGGGAAATAGCGATTGACCAATTTTTTTGGAAATGGTTTGAAGGTGTAACATTTGCAGGTATACTGGGGAGCCTGTGGATGTACCGTAATTGTATTTCCAGAAGTGCAATTTGACAAGGTGCCACGTAAAAGGTTATTGTGCATAATAGGAGCTTATGGTATTGGGGGCAAGAAGAGCACAGATGGAAGATTATCTGGTTGGCAGGAAACCTGAGTATGCATAAATGGGCCTTTTCCTGATTGGCAGCACGTGACAAGTGGACTCCTTGATCAATATGAGCCCCCTTTGCCCACTCCTTTTAATCTCGCTGCGTCCCTCATCCCGAGTCGCACACTGCTCTGCCCCTGGTCTGGCTGTTTGTGTTTCACCTCCCCTACTCTTCTAGTGCGTGATTCACAAGAAGTAAGCATGCAGATACAGCAAATTAGTCAAGAGCCTAATGGAATGTCATCCTTTATTCCGAGAGGAATTGAACATAAAATATGTTATACTTCAGTTATACAGGGAATGGGTGAGACCATATCTCAAATACTGTTCTGTGTATTTTAGTCTCATTTGAGGAAGGATGTAAATGTGGTTCAGAAGAGGTTTATTCGATTGATTCCTGGAATAGGGTTTGGTGAGCTCAGTTGCTGGATGGCTGGTTTGTGATGCAGAGTGACACCAACAGTGCAGGTTGAATTAAGGTCCCACCATCTTAGCCTCTCTCCTTACATGAGGCGCAGTGACCCTCACGTTAAACCACCACGAGTCAACTCTCTTTGATGACAGAGCAGCTGTATGGTCTCCTGGGATTATAGAAACTTCCCCTTTTACCTGGAATGATTGGTATGTCTGATGAGGAAAGGTTGAACAGACCGGGCTTTGTCCCACTGGAGATTAGACCCTTCCTGATGAAGGGTCTCAACCTGAAATGTTGACTTTCCTGCTCCCCTGATGCTGTCTGACCTGCTGTGTTCCTCCAGCTCCACACTGTATTGACTAAGATCCTGAATGGTCTTGACAAGCTAAACGTCTTCATCTTGTCCATCAGGAAACTCTTGTGGGTCAGTGCTGAACTCGAGGGCATTGGTAAAATTAGGAGTTGCCTTTTAGGACAAAGCTGAGATTTTTTTCCTGTGAGGGTTGTGCAACTTTGGAGATCTCTGCTGTAGAAGGTGATGGAGACGGGTGTATGGAATGTTTTTAAGGCATTCATAGGTTGGTTACTGTTAAGCAGGTGAATTAAGTAATGTCAGGGGTAGATAGGAGTGTGAATTTTGCAACACAACAAATGAGCCATGATCTTAAACTCCAGTGGAACAAAGCCCGGTGTGTCCAACCTTTCCTTATCAGACATACCAATCATTCCAGGTAAAAGGGGAAGTTGCTATAGTCCCAGGAGACCATACGGCTGCTTTCTCATCAAGGAGAGTTGACTGGTGGTGGTTTAACCTGAGGGTCACCGCGCCTCATGTATGGGAGAGGCTCGAGGGGCTGAATGACCTCCTTTTCCTCCTAATTCATTGCATTTTTGTGCAGCTGTAAACTGCACAGCTCAATGTGTGAGTCTTCCCTTTCTACAGAAACACAGTGCCATGCGTTTTTTATACACATGGCTTGTAGACAAGACAGGCAGAGCAAGATTTACTCCCATCCCACATTACTATGAGGATATGAAGAGTCAGTGAAAAGAGTAGGGCTGGTGGTCCATGGTCCCCTTCTCTGAAAGGCACCAGTGACCCCCAGGCTGGTTTTTATGACACATGCAGCATCTTTTACGGTGAATTTTCCTTGTGCCAGACCCTAAATGACCCGAATGATTCAATTCCAGATCGGAATGCCTGGTGGGTTTCAAACCCATGATCTCTGCTTTTCTGGTCCAGGACCAGAACCATGAGGTTGCTTTGCTCTGCCTTTCCAGGATCCTTCATCAGGAATTCATGGCGGATATCACGAATCTATCATTCCTTGCCCCGAAAGGGTTAATTATATAATGACGTTGATAAGCAGGAGGGTGGTCTCAGAGGGGCTGGCACTTGAAAGCTGTGCGCTGTTAGTCTGTATCAGACTGAGGGTCCTGTCAGTCACTCATTCAGACAACAGTACAACAGCTTGGCGTCTGTAAGCCCTTATCAGTTCATGCAGACAGTTCGGAGGTCAGTTGTGCTCTGAGCATGCTCCAAAAAGCTGGTTCTACCTTGGTATTGATTTCCATGTGTTATCCAGATACAGATGATAACAGTGAAGAAGCGAGAGGCATTTCTCTTCTGTGAAAACTGACTTGGATAGTGTGACTGTATTATTTAAGCCAATCGATTCCGCACTCCCTCGGGCGGTTTAAATCGTGGCAGAACAGCGGGACCCATTGTTAACGGCACTTCAAACACACAGAATTGGAACCTGCTGATAAAATGTGCTCATCGTTGCTTTGTTAACGTGATTGCTCAGATCACAGAGCTCTACTCAGTTCATATCACTGACCTTTACAAACCGCCGGAAGATTAACTCTTCGCTCTGTTACAGTCTCTCACTCTACCAAACACTGAGGCCAAAGTAGAGACCAGTCATGCATTTAAAGTGACAAAACTCAGGTAGAGGATCAAGTGGAGGCAGAAATAGTACCTTGAGCAGCTGAGGATACCCAAAGGCAACATCAAACACTTCCAGGACAGGGACAGCATGAGGTTAGATACAGACTAAGGGACAGCCTGATGGTTCAGTGGTCAGCACTATTGCCTCATAGCACTAGGGACCGGGCTCAGTCCCAGTCTCAGGCAACTGTGTGGAGTTCGCACCTTCTCCCCACGTCTGTGTGGTTTCTTTCCAAAGATGAGCAGGCAAAGGTGGATTGGCCACACTAGATGTATGGTTACAGGAATGGGGTGGGTCTGGATGGGATGCTTTTTAGAGAGTCAGTGTTGACTTGATGGGCCAAGTAGCCTGCTCCCATACTGTAGAGATTCTATGATTCTAATAAAGCTTCTCCCACCAGGGTTTAATACATTAATTAGTAGTTTAATACATTAATTAAAAGTGTTGCATAAATGAAGTTGTTTGAAATTTTTCTTTTCATGGATTTATTTTGTTTTTCCTTTTCTACATCTAAAAAGACATTTATGTTATTACAGTTTCCCACCACTCCAGTATTATCGTTGTGAATCTGCCGCATATAGAGCTTTGATATTCTTTCTGTGGCCTAACCACAATCTGAAGCTAATGTACGGTTGTCTTTCTGGAGTGAGAAACACTGAGATTTCATAGAAGTCCTACAGTACAGAAAGAGGCCATACGGCCCGTTGAGTCTGCAGTGACCCTTCAAAGAGTATCCAACCCAGACCCGTCCCCTATCCTATCCCTGTAACACCAGATTTCTCATAGCCAATCCACCTAACCTGCACATCTTTGGACTGTGAGAGGCGACTGGAGCATTCAGAGGAAACCCACACAAACACTGTGCAAATTCCACACAGTCACCTGAGGCTAGAATCAAACCCGGGTCCCTGGCGCTTTGAGGCAGCAGAGCTGATTTATGTTGAGACGGAGTTGGTCTAGGAGCATGGAATGATGTGTTGTATCTAACTCACTGGTCCTTATTGCAGGGAGGAGAAGGAACGCTGGATCAGAGCCAAGTATGAACAGAAACTACTCCTGGCAGCTCTGCCCCAATCGGACATCCCCCTGGGACAGCAGCTGCTCCGAGCTGTGGTGGAGGATGATCTCCGGCTGGTCGTCTTGCTCCTTGCTCACGGAACCAAGGAAGAGGTGAACGAGACCTACGGGGATGGAGATGGCCGGACTGCACTGCATCTGTCCTGTGCCATGGCCAATGTTGTTATAACTCAGCTTCTTATATGGGTAAGAATCAGACCAGTGAATGTACAAGTGTAGTACTATACCCAGACTGCACCTGTAGTCTCTAACAGTCTCACCACACAGACAGCTCCTGCAGAGGGAGATGGTTACTTTGTGGTAATGTCACTGAACTAGGAATCCAGAACCTCAGGCTAATGTTCTGAAGTCATGGGTTTGAATCCACTGTGACAGAAATTTAAATCCAGTAAAAATCTGGAATGAAAAGCTAATCTCATTGTTACTATGTAACCATTGGCAACTGTTGTAAAACCCATCTGGGTCATGTCCTTACCCCAGTCTGGCCGACATGTGACCCTGCCTCTGAAATGGCTGACCAAGCCACTCAATTGTTTCAGACAGAGGTAAAGGCACTGTGGGTGTCCCTACCCAAGTATAGCACATGGACTGCAGTGGTTCAAGAAGGCAGCTCATCACCACCTTCTCCAGGGCAACTAGGCAATAGCAATAAATGCTGGCCCAGACACAGTGCCCAGATCCTAAGAACACATTAAAAAGGAAACAATCAGAGTGTTTTTTTGAATGACAGCATAAACACTCTTTCCTTGTAGCCCTTGCATTTATAAAACAGAAAAATCCCCCACAACTTTCTATATTACGTTGAATCATTATCCCTTACTTTCCCTCTTAATATCTATATTTCACAGTCCCTCTCTGTCTCTCAACCCTCACTGTTCACCTCCTCTCTCCTTTCATCTCCATTGATGTCTTATTCTTTCTCTAATTCCAACTCTGTCATATCTTCTCTTCCTCTCTTTCTCATTCCCTTTGTCTTCCTACTACACAATGTCTCTGTCACTACCCATTGCTCCCTGTCATATTTCATGCTGCTTCTCTCTGATGCTTGGCGTGATAGTTGACCCTTTCAGAGGCTGATTTCACTGAGCAATGCTGTTTGCTGGTGTTGTTACAGTACGGAGTGGATGTGAAGAATCGGGATGCTCGTGGACTGACACCGATGGCGTATGCTCGGCGAGCAGGAAGTCAGGAGTGTATCGAGATCCTCACACAGTACGGCTGTCCCAGTGACAACTTCATCCCCATCCCAACCCCGAACCTATCGCGCAGGAACACCAACGTTAATAACAACTTACAGTCAGAGCTGAATCGAAGTGCCAGCATCATCTAATCTCCCGACATTCAGAGGACACAGCTCCCAGCCATTCCTTGTATATGTGTTCTCTCTCTCCCCCAGCACCCTCCCTGTCTCAAACAGCAGACTGATGGACCTTCTGCTCACTGACCATTGCTGCTCTGTGAATGACCCAGTGTTACAGAGTGTTGCTTTCTTAATTATGATGTGGTCTGGTACACAATGCTCAAACCTGCAATCATGATGGACAAGCCTAGGTGACCAAGGTGAAAAAGACACTGAGCCTGATCCTGGATGGAGACAGACTACAGGGCAGGACACAGCACCTGGCAAAGCCAAAGGCAGAATCATGTTGTTACTGCAAAGCAGCTGCTCTAAGGAGAATCATTCCATTTACTCAGAAACCAAGCACACCACACTGAATGGTATAGGCATCCTAGAGGACAGGGCATATGTATGAGAGTGTGTGTTTCACACTACATGCAGTCCCCAGATTGTGAATGGGTTCTGTTCTCGAATTTGTTCATGAATCAATTCGCATGCAAATCAGAGCACAGTACAGTACGATATAAGAATCTTTAAATTAATATCAATATAACCCTGTGTGGGATTGCGTGCGTAAGTACAAGTGTTCATAAGTCAGATGTTGGTAAACTGGAGACAACTGTAGTGGTGAATGAGCTGTGTATTGGTACACATTGTTTGTTTGTGTGTGTGTGTGTGTCTGTCTGTCTCAGTGTTAGCATCTGTATGGCGTGTGTGTGTGTGTGTGTGTGTGTGTGGTGACACTAATCATGAAGTTCCTGTATATTTGTTACACTGAGTGTGAGAGTGTGTTACACACTGATGGGGAATGCCCTGTTTGTAATATTGGTGTGAAATGTGGATGTTAATTTGATTTTGCCAGTTCCCCTTGTCTCTCGCATTCCTGTTGTGTCTTGCTGTATTTTCTCTCCAGTACAGGTCTGTGCTGGGTTGTAATCCCAATGTTATTGATTGTCACTGGTGATGGGAACTCTCTGCTCTCCCTGTTCCTTCTTGTTTTTGAATCAAGAATGACAGGAAAATTGCTCCCAAGGTTGTGGTGAGTGGAGCAACTTCGGTTTCCTCTGGATAGTGGGTGAACAGCACTTTGCACGGAATTTCCTCTTCTAACTCCCCCTACCAATCTCCTGTGAGGGAAATGAGAATGACCATAATCACTGGTGGAAAGCTTGGGATCAAGCTGCTCTGAAATCATCAGGGTTTTAATTAACACAACAGGAACTGGATGCTGGTTGAAATGGGATATTGTAGACAGGCTTCATTTCCACAGGGCCTGGAGTCTGTCCTAGAGAACCAGTCAGTGTGGACAGGCCCTAGGGTCTGTCCTGGAGGAGTGGTCAGTGTGGACAGGGCCTGGGGTCTG